GTGAGAGCACCCCCCACCTGCCACATTGGCGGAGAAGCGGAGTCCGCGTTTAGACCCGGCAGCATTCGGCAAAGGCCCAGCACCACACCTAGGAGAGAGCTAGAAGTGTGGTTTCAGACAGAAAGGTTAGCAAGGATTAAATCCAGTAACTGGTTCTGTGACAAAATGGCTAGCGCATTGGACTTTTATTGGAATTTGGCATGGTTATTCTAAAGTTTTGGGTTCGAGGTCCTCCCTCAATTCCATTTTTTTATGTTCTATAATTATTTTTTCTTTATTAAGGTATTTCATATGTGTCCTTTTCCCCCCCATTGCCCCCCCCCCCCACCTCCCAGCTCAGACATCTTGGCACATCACCGTAGATACTCCTCGGGGTCCAGGTCAGGGGATCACATAGGTACGATTGCCTTCTAATAAGGTTCTTTGACATCTCAGTTGTTAAATTCTCTCGAATGGGGTTCAAGCACATCTGGCTTACAGTGAAGTTTGCTCTAGGTAGAGAATGCCACAGATCATCACAGGGGAAGTGTTCTTAGATGTCTAGTGTTGTTTGCAGATTTATGTACTTACCCAAAAGAATGTCACCTCCTTCCCAGAGCATCTAATCTTCCCAAAGGGGAGGTAGAGAGGACCTTTTCCTTTCCATGTGGTTTCCCCAAATGAGAGCAGAGGAGACCTGCTTCCACCTTCCTTTCTGTCTATCCTGGCTGACTGTTTTTCTCGAGGCCTCTTTCTTAGCCGCCAGAAGAGCTGCTGTTGACATCTCACCAGTGGCCCTGGCTGGTCTTCCTGGATTGGAACCAGCTCCAGTGAAGTCTGTGGCTGAGAAGAAGGTGCTCAGAGCTCAGGCTGAGACCATGGGCCTAGGACAGTGATGGTGAACCTTTTGAGCTCGGCGTGTCAGCATTTTGAAAAACCCTAACTTAACTCTGGTGCCGTGTCACATATAGAAAATTTTTGATCTTTGCAACCATAGTAAAACAAAGTCCAACAGACTTGGGTCAACTCAAAGTCTCCATTTCTTCTTCTATGTAAAAACTAGAGGCCCGGTGCAAGAAATTTTGTGCACTCGGAGGTTTGGGGGGCTTCCCTCAGACTGGCCTGCCCCCTCTCACAGTCCAGGAGCCCTCAGGGGATGTCCTACTGATGGCCAGACTGCAGCCAGAAGCCACAGTCTGGCCTCCCTCTGCTGGAGGCAACCGGGCTGATCAGGGGAGTGCGCCACCCCCATCACCCTGCTGCTGCTGCCACTGCCAACCACTGCGGCTGCGAGGCCTGAGCCCTGGGCCTCGCAGCCACTGGGGCTCATGGCTGCCTGAACCCATGGCTGTCGTGAGCCCACGGCTGCTGTGAGCCCTAGGCTTCACAGCTGCTGTGGCTTTGTCTGGATGGACGTCCACCCTAATTAGCATATTACCCTTTTATTAGTATAGATGAGAACAGACTAATAGTGATTATCTCACAGGGTTTGGGTGGAGATTCATGGGGAGCTTTTGAATTAGCACTTGACATACTTGTTATTGTAGTTTACAGGCTCATTGACCACAAAGCTCCTACAAAATCTAGGCATGAAGATTATCTCTGATTGTATCCACAGGGCTTAGCAAATAACAGAAGCTGGATAAATGTTTGACAGGGAGAGTGAATTGGAAGCACTGACCTTATCCACACCAGGATCCAGGGAAATAATTATGATTCTTTCCACATCAACTGCGGAGGTCATATGCAAATAAGGCAAGTGAGAATTTGAAGTAGGGTGGTGGTGACCAGCCCCCCTGTTCTCCTCCACCCAGGCAGGTCACATTAGTGAACTCACATTGGTGAAGCCACAGCCAGGGGGCCAGGCCTGAGGGGTAGGTGCAAGGGGACACAGAGGCAACAAGACAGTCTGCCTTCAAGTTGCTTATAGTGAGGGCGGGTGGAGATTAGATCACTAGACTAGGTTGCTCACTGCGCTTCTGTAATACCCACCACACATTATGGTGATGTCTTCTTTGCTTTGTAGTCAGATGCATCTGGGTTGCACTTCCATCCCCAACCGTGAGTCACTGGGCAAATGACCTCTCCCCATGGAGCCTCAGTGTCCTCATCTGTAGAATGGAAATCCAGCCATCATGTCCCCTGCTTCGTGGGGCTGGGCATTGATTCAATGAGATATGCATGTCAAGCTGTCAGCCCAGGGCTGGCACATGGGAGGCCTCAGCTGCCATAAAGTTGCTCATCCAAGAGGGTGGGGATGCAGCTGTCTTGAGCACTGAGAACCCCCAGCAACCAGCAAACACTTAGAAGACACTAGTCCCTTCCATGGGCAGGGAAGGCCGTGTGGTGGGAAGGGATTGGAAAGGCCTTTGTGTGCCAGGTTGAGTTTTGTCCTGGTGCAGTGAAGAGGCATTGCAGGTTCTTAGGAAGGGCAGGAGCTGGATGCTGTCATTGGTGGGACAGGCTCAGCCTAGGCTGACCTCACAGTGGGCTCCTTTCCATGGACATGACCCCCATCAGCCATGCATTAGGGAACATCAGCACTTAAATCTCCAGCTTTACCAGAGCCTCACATTTGGACTCACTTGAATTAAACCTCTCCAGAGTGGAGTGGTTTGATCCCTGGCACACAGTAGGCACTTACCCCATAGATATTCAGTTGGATGGCATTAGTGACCTCTGAGTTGTGTAAGTCCACCCACTCTGGGTGTGTGCAAAATAAACACTCTGGTTGATTTGTACATGATGACTTCAGAGGCCTCCAAGGGCCTTCCTGGCAAGTGACAGCTCCCATTTCCTAAGTGTTTACTATGTGCAAACTGCACGAGCACATGGCCCTGTTGTGGGACAGGCATATACTCTCCCTGTTTTACAGAGAAGAAAACAGAGGCTCGAAGGGGTGCCCTGACGAGGGCAAGGGGGCAGAGCTGGTCAGTGCGGGCCAGGTCTGCCCTTAGAGCCTGAGCCCCCGAACACCGCTCTGGGATCAGCTACATGTGGCTTTTGTGGGGCAGAGGGAAAGGGAGCTTCCCTTGTGCGTCCTGAGACAAGCTCCACCCCCCCCCACCCCCTCAGCTGTGGGACCCGGGGCACTTTCTGAACCCGAGACCCAGGGTCTTCACCATGAAGTGAGGCTGTGGTGGGGGCTGAATAAGATCTTGCATGTGGGGTGCTCAGCGTGGGGCTTGACGTCCATTCCTTCAGCAACAAAGCAGTAAGCCCCTGCTGTGTGCCAAGCACTGTTCCCAGCAGTGAAAGAATAGGGTCCCTGCCCTCCTGGAGCAGACATGGAACTTGTAAGTAAAGAAACAAAATAATTTCGGAGTGCTCTGGCCCGGCAGCTCAGTTGGTTAGAGCATCGTCCCTGTTCATCAAGGTTGTAGGTTTGATCTCTGGTCAGGACACATTCAAGAAGCAACCAATGAATGCATAAATAAGTGGAATGTCAAATCAGTGTTTCCCTTCCCCTCTCTCTCTCTCTCTGGAAAATAAAAGTAAAAATAAATAAAAAGTTAAAAAAAGGTAATTTCTGAGTGGTAAGCACTCTAACAAGGTGATGTGGAGTAAAGGGGAGGGGGCCGTCTCAGATGGCGTGGTCAGGGCAGGCCCCTAATGAGGTGACATTTGAGCACAGATGTGAATAACAAGAAGCTGTCTATGTAATGACTTGGGAACAAAGACAGGAAAAAGGTCAACATGGTTTATTAAGATGAATGTAAGTTTCTAGGCAGAAGTTGACAGGGCCTCGTGGCCTGCGGTAAGAACTCAGTATGCGGTAGCTATAGCCAGTATAATTTTCCTCCAGCTGGTGACAAAAATGCCACCCCTTGATCTGGAAGCAGGACTCTACCGGCCACCCCCGCTAATCCCGATACCCAGCGCCCATCTCTTGCGTGCTGTAGAGGCCCAGGGTTGTGCAGGCACCAAGAGGCTGGAGCAGGTGAGCTACCAGGCTGGGCAGAGGCCATCTCGAGTCTGACCTTTCGCCCCTGATCTTGGCACTGTTGACTTTTACTGCTCTAGGAACAGTGCCTGGGATCCTGGGAAGCCATGGAAATGGCGGGCAGGTCTGGAAAGGCCTATACTGCAAAGATCGATGAGGTATGAGGAGCCCACTCCAACCTCCTCCTCTTTCTGCAGAAACTCAGCTCAGGAAAAGGCTTCCCTCTTGAAAAGGCGATGGCTCCGAGGTCAGCCTCCAGCCTCCCACGTCCTCCCTCTGCCACTGGGAGCCCTAGACCAGGATGTGCGGGCACAAGGCCGACACACGGGCATGGCAGTGCTGAGCAGGTCTTCCAACAACCCCCAGGTCCAGCCCCAGCTCTGTTCAATAAATAGTACCACCTCCCCCCATGACTGTTGGTGTCAATGTGATAATAAACAGAAGTGTTTGGCACTGCTTAGCACACAGTACAGTTATAACTACACTGTAATTGTTATCATCCGTAGGGAAACTGAGGCACAAGAAAACCAAGCAGGAGGCCTTGCAACCTGTGTTCTAGCTACTCCAGCCAAGTCCTTGCCCATCCTGGGCCTTTGTTGCCCTCGCCACACAACGAGGAACCAGTCCCTCAAAACTCTAAAGGCTCTGCGTTCTCGCAGAGTATCTGGTTCTAAATCCACAGCCAGGGCCACATGCTCTGCCACGATCCCTTTTACTTGTCTGTCCCCACTCCTTGGCTCTGACCCAAGGAAAATGCCTGGTTGCTGCTCTAAGATGAAACTGTAGTCTCGCAGCTGCTCCTCCACCTGCGCACACAGTAACGCAATCGCTCCTGCCCCTTGGTCCTTCAGAGAGCATCACCGCGTGAAGCCTCCGCAATAACCAGAGGTGCTGTTCTTACTCCCTTTAGCGATGAAATGGGCCGAGGGGAGGGATTGCCCCAGGCCCTCTGCTAGAAAACCCTAGAGGGGTTAGGAGCTTGAATCTGTTGGGCCAACTTCAGGCCCGAGGTGGGCCAAGCGGCTGAAGCGCAGACTGGAGGGGGTGTTTCCTCTTGGGGCTCAAAGGCCCAAGGCTGCCAGTCAGCCAGCACTGGGCGAAGGGAAGCAGGCCCTCGACCTGAGGGAGCCTTTGTTCGGACAGTGGAGACTCCCTTCCCCTCTGCCTCCCTCTTCTCCGGCCTTTGGGATTGGGTCGCATCCTCACTCCTGGGAAGACGCCCAGCCTGGCACCCAGAAAGCCCTGGCTGGCAGGGAGGGTCTAGAGCAGGTGTGGACCGGTGCGAGTCCAGATGGCTGGTTCCTGTCCACGTGTGGTTCTCTGGGCAGCTCCAGGCTCCCCTGGGAGCTGCACTGCCTGCTCCCGCCTGGGTTGGCCCTCAGAGCCACTCAGCACTGTTACGACAAATTCTGATAAGTAATATCCAAAGGTCAATGTTCAAAGAAAAGGAACAAAGGTAGTGGCCATGGAGCCTTCTGCCTCCAGGGGAAGTGGGTGGGGTGAGGGTGAGGAGGGCCTAGGCCTTGATGTGCATGGGGGGGTCCGTGATGCCCAACTCCTCCCGCAGAGCCTTCAGGGGCTGCTCCCAGCGCCGCTCGTAGTACAGATTGAGGACACACGGGGCCCTGCGCCCGTTCTGAACTGCCCACGGGACCAGCTCTGAGACCAGCACTTGCAGGTGCCTGTGGGGCAGCAGAGGGAGAGAACAGAGGGTTCTGAGGGCCGGCACACTGTGTGCCCAGCGGTCCACGTGCATTTTCTCAGGTGATCCTCACACAGACCAAGACGAAGTGGTTATTATCACCAATTTTCAAATGAGGAAGCAGAAAATCAGCCAGGTTAGAATCCCGCGCCCAAAGTCACCCATCTTGACCGCGCCACGCCCAGGTTTAAATTGAGGGCTACCTCACTCCAGAAACGAATGTCGATTGCCCCCGCCGCACCTGCATCATTCTGCCCTGGCACCGAGGCCTGGCCCAAGAGACTTGAGGGTCCGTCCCATGAACTGTCCAGGCTTCATTTATTGGCCTGGAGGCCCCGGGCCAAGCCAGTTTCACCTCTCCGCCCCATTCCTTCCACCCTGGCTTCCTGGAGGACCACTGAGGCTGCTTAGGAAGGCTGCATGCTCTTCCTTTTCCTGGAGCCTTGGCCCCTTTGACATCTCCCTTGACCCCTCACCCCCACCCCTTGAGAACTTACTGGGCACTGAGTCGGATTGGTCCAAAGAGTGCGCCCAGGATGCACATGGGCAAGCCGGTCTGGACAGCCTCAAACCACTTCACCACGATCTCCCCTGCGGGACAGGGTAGGGATGGAGGTGGGAGGTGAGGAGGGGCCAGGAGGAGAGGCCAGGGATGCTCATGGCAGGGACCAGTGAGGTGTCTGCTCCTCTCTAAGGTGCTCTTCTCTACAGGGGGTCAGCCATGCTCGGTCTGGTCTGTGCTGTGCCAGGCACTCGGCTTGGTGGCGAGGAGAGGGCCCAAGAAAGAGCCAGAGGAAAGAAGGGCTGGAGAGGAAGTTTGGGGTCAGAATGCAGAAGACTTGACAGCCAGGCTAGTTCCTACAAGCCTTCGGGAGTTCCCGAGGGTGTCAGGAGAGGGAGCCTGCTGCTTGGATGCTGCTCTATCTGTGTAGGAGCCATGAGAGGTACTGGGGATGGCACAGATGCTACCAAGATGTTCGGATAAAGCAAAAAATGAGGCACTATGTCAGCTAATTGGTGGGTGGCAGAGAGAGGCGAGCCCTGCCCTGGCCCTGGTGGACAGGCTTGCTGGAGCATCCTGCCCTGCCCAACCCCCACTCTCAAGGCAGCTGGCACTCACCCAGGATGTTGGTGGGCATCCCCAGCAAGGTGTGGAGCATGTCGTGCACCTCCCGGTACCGCTGGATCACGTACGCTAGCTCCTCATCGTCCACGAATCGGGTGGGTGCCCGGGTATCTGGGGAGACCCTCTGACAACCATGAACCTCCCCTAGACCCCTTTCCCTCAGTTCCCAAGGCCCAACTGCCAGCCTCTCCTTGACTCTGTCAACCACTCCCACCAGACTCATCCCTCAGGACTCTCCGGGGACTTTGCTTCTGTCTATACCAGCTGACGGGAATCCTTCGTGATACTGGCAACCCCTCAACCTACGCCAACTCACACATAACGTATGTAACCTGTTGGAATATATGGTACAAAAGCCCCAGGGGAGGGGGAAGCAGGATTTTAATGGGGATAGAATTTCAGTTGGACAGATGAAAAAGCTCTGGAGGTTGGTTTCATAACAATGTGAGTATACTTAACACTACTGACTGTCCATTTAGAGATGGATAAGAAAATTTAAAAATTTTTCTTTATTGATTGATGAATGGTAGAGAAACATGATTTGTTGTTCTACTTATTGATGCATTTATTGGCTGATTCTTGCATGTACCCTGACCGGGGATCAAACCTGAAACCTTGGCATATCAGGACAACACTCTAAGTACCAAATGAGCTATCTGGCCAGGAAAGATGGGAAATTTTATGTTTTTTTTGTTTGTTTTTTTACCACAATCAGAAGTTGAGGGTAAAAAAAAGATCCTAGCATGAGCTAAGGATCCTAGCGTGTTCTCTCCCACCGCCCTCATCTTCACCTTGGTAATTCCTGCTCATCCTTAATGACCCCGCTTAAGTGTCCCCTCCAAGGGCAGCGTGTTCCTGACCTGCAGACTGATCAGGCCCACAGCATGGTCTCCTGTAGCAAGCTGCACCTCCCTATGGCACTCGACGTGACTGCATCCTGTTTAATGCATGTGCTTGTTAATGTCTCCTTCCTGGATCTGGCTGTCCCACACAGCACCACTTGCCACATGTGGCCATTGGGCCTTGACATGAGACAAGTTCCAGCTGAGACATGCTATCCATGAAAATCACACACTGGATTTCAAAGACTTAGTATGAGAATAGTGTCAAGTCTCAATAATTAAAAAACATTGACTACATGCTGAAACGTATTTTAGATACACTGAGTTAAACAAAATGCTATTAAAATTAATTCCACCTGGTTTTTTTGGCTTCACTAACGTAGCTAGCAGCAGATTTAAATTTCCTACGTGGCTTGCATCCTATTTCCATGAAGAGCGCTGCAGCGGTCTGGTCTTCCTGTCCCCACGCGTGGCCTCAGCCTGTCCAGAGGCTGAGAGGTTTGTGTCTTTGCAGCTTGGGGGCTGCTGGTTCAGTGCCATGCTCTATGTGTGGCCTCCCTGGGTCCTGCTTTCTTCTGTAGCGTTCTACTTGTGTGAAGCTGAAGGTGATCACAGTAATAGCAGCTAGACTTACTGAGTCCCTACTATGTGCCTGCACTGGATGACGTCCTTTACATATATGACCATACTTCATCTTCATGACCATCTAGGGGGTGGATACTGTTATGAGTCTCAGATACAAATAAGAAAAATGGGCCCAGCTGGTGTGGCTCAGAGGCTGAGCGTGGATCTATGAACCAGGAGATCACAGTTCGATATCAGGGTTGCTGGCTCGACCCCCAGGAGGGAAGGGTGTGCTGGAGGCAGCCAATCAATGGTTCTCTCTCATCATTGATGTTTCTATCTCTCTCTCCCTTCCTCTCTGAAATCAATAAAAAAATATATAAAAATAAAAATAAAAATGAGGCTCAGAGAGATAAAGTAACTTCCCAAGATCACACAACCAATCAAATGGCTGAGCCAGGATTTGAAGCAAAGTTTGCTGGATTCCAAAGCCAACAGCTTTAACATCCATTATTGATAAGCCTTACTAGTGCCCTGGAAGATAAACATTAGGTCCTTTTCCTCAGATAAGGAATCTGAGCCCCAGAAAGGCCAAATGACTCGCCCAGGGCCCTAAAGCTGGGAGGAGAGGCAGGATTCTAGCTCAGCCTCCTCTTCACTCCAAAGCTCATGCCTCACAATCTTGATGCCACAAGAATGACTGACCGCATTCCTTACCAAGGTCCACTCAGGGTGGGTGACTTCACTCTGAACCTTGATCTAAATCTCTGCTGGTACAAAGGTGTTACTTCACCTTTCGTGGCTGCTGGTTCCCATCCTCTGGAAGTGTCACAACCGCTCGGGCTGTTAGCACAGCTGGGGCTGTAGCTGGGCAAGGTGCCAGGGAGGCCCTGCAGTCCCCTCCCCTCCTCAGTAATAGGACAAAGGCTCTGGGGGAACTTCAGAAGGCTGTCCCTCCCTGGCTGACACTAGGGGCAGGTTACCTTGGTGCGTTTCCCATTGATGAAATAATTTGCATCCTGGTGAAGTGTGAGAGAGAGGGTCTAAACTGGGGTGGGGGCAGGTGCCAGGAATGTATGGGTGCAGCTTATTTTTTCAAGGATAATAACCTAGAGCAGTGGTTCTCGACTGTCCACCGGGGGACATTTGTAGTAGTTAGGACTTAGGGAGGTGCTACTGTCATCTGGTGGGCAGAGGCCAGGGAGGCTACTAAACATTCTGCAATGCACAGCACAGCCGCACAACAATGACTTATCCAGCCCAAAAAGTCAATAGTGCCAAGGTTGAGAAACCCAATTCCAAAGGAACCTTCACTCACTCCGTCACCTCCCCCAGTCTGGCTGGCTCCTGTGCTAGGCTGGGCAGCACTTCAGAGGTCCTTTGTGGGGATGTGTACATGTTGGTGGGTGGGGGGAGGGGCGGGGGCTGTATCCTAAGGTGCTTTTATAAATCAGATGTTACTCTCCTGCTTGAAACCCTCAGGGGCTTCCTATTGCTCCTATTACAACATGCAGACTCCTTGTGGGGATGTGTACATGTTGGTGGGTGGGGGGAGGGGCGGGGGCTGTATCCTAAGGTGCTTTTATAAATCAGATGTTACTCTCCTGCTTGAAACCCTCAGGGGCTTCCTATTGCTCCTATTACAACATGCAGACTCCTTGTGGGGATGTGTACATGTTGGTGGGTGGGGGGAGGGGCGGGGGCTGTATCCTAAGGTGCTTTTATAAATCAGATGTTACTCTCCTGCTTGAAACCCTCAGGGGCTTCCTATTGCTCCTATTACAACATGCAGACTCCTTCCCATGGCTGGCAGGGCCTGGCCCGGCTGATCTCCCCGCCCATGGCTGCCTCCCCCAACTCTCTCCTGTGTGGCCACATGAGTAGGTCTCCCTCTCCTTAAACTCAGAGCCTCCCACTTGCCAATCCCTTGGGATGGTCCTCCTGTGTTTCCTCGGGGCTGGCTCCTCCTCCTCTTCTTAGTCTCCCAGGACCACCGTGTCGAAAGTGGCCAACCCCACGCCCACCCTTGTCCTGTCTCGATGATTGCTGTCCTCATAGCACCATCTGCTAGAATGCGAGCTCCACAAGGTAGGCTCTTGGCTGGTTTTATTCACTGCATCCCAATTACTATGAACAGTGCCTGGTAAGTTCTAAATACTCAATAAATATTTTACATGAATTTTTATATGACTATTTCTTTCTTTTACTGTTTTATTTACCTCCCCAACCAGAATATTAGGTCCAAGAGGGCAGAGATCTTGCCTGGCTAGTTCACTATTACGTCCCCAGGACCTGGAACAATGTGATGACACATACCAGATGCTAAACAAATGAATGAGTTCCTCAGTAATTGGGACCCCCCCCCCCCCCCCCCCCCCCCCGGACCACAACTTGCCATACCCTAGGGAAGCATAGAGTCTGGAACAGGGGACACAGGGCAGCAGTTAACACCATGATCTGGGTGTGCGTACTGCTTCCATTAACACTGGCTGTATGAAGCCAGCAAGTTGCTTAACTCCTCGGAGCCTCAGTTTCATCTATTCAAAGGGCATAATAAAACGTACTTGACGGCATTATTGGGAGGATTCAGCAAGATCATGTGAGCCTGGCATCTGGAATGCAGTAGAGGTTAATAAATGCTGGCCAGAATTCTCGGTTGGAGCGATGTTACTGGCCCATTTACCTGTCCCAGAGAAAATGACAAAGGCTTGGCACAAGAGACTGAAAAGCACTCCTGCCCATGGTGGCAACTTAGGGTTCCTCCTTTCTTGGGACGCCACTCCCATGCCACTCATCGGACCTTCCTGGTGAGGGCCGAAGGCACAGAACCTGGACACTCACATTCACATCCAGGAAACGAAGATACTCGCGGCCGAGGGAGCCCTCAGGCAGGCTCTGGAGCTTGTCCAGGTCAAGGGTAGACAGAGAGATCCGGGGACGCTCCCTGCAAGGCAGAAGGCAGGACCTAGGTATTGGGAGGGCACCAGCAAAGGCAGGTAAAAGGTTCCGCTGGAACAAGGTTGAGAGAGGGAAAGAGGCAGAGCAGCAAGGGGGCCACAAGTCCCGAGGGGGCTTCTTCTGTTTGGCAGGGACTGAGGAGACCACTGCAAGGTCGTGCTTCCTGTCTACAGGGGCACAGTCTAGGCAGGCAGACCTCACAGGTGATAAGGGTACTCACCAAGGGCATTGCAGGAAGGGGTGAGGGTACAGTTAGCATGTGTTATGGAAGCTTAGAGAGGGTAGAGAGCCCTGTGTCTGGAACTGGGCCGAGGCCACCAGATGGCACTACCCAGGGGTCATCGTAGTGTCTATATGAATTGCTTCCCTGGAGTTAAGCAGTGCCCAGCCTGTGCAGCCATCCACAGCCAGGATATGGAGAGCTCCCTAGAGGAACAGGACTGACACAATGGGACTCAAGATCCCCACAGAATATTCCCAACCGACACCCCCAGGCAGAGCTGGAACCTACTGCAGGATCTGGGCACCCTCTGGGTCCCTCTTCATCTGGTCCCTGAGGACCCTCAGGGCACGGCACCCTGTGGTTTCCCCTAGAACTGCAACCATGTCTGAAAGGAAATTGGGACAAATACAGGATCTGATTAGGTAAGTTACCTGACCTGGTCTGAGTCTCAATTTCCTAACTGATAAAAATCTACCTCTTAGTTATGAGGATTCATGTTAAACACTTAGCAAATCATCCTGCACAGAGGTAGGGCTCAATACAGCTATACTTATTAGTATTGCTGTTATTAATCTGCTGGGATGAGGTAGCTCCAGTTAGCACAGTGCTTTCCAGATCACTTTCACATCCACGATCACAACACAATATAATGTCTCCATTGACAGGCACAAGCTTTGGTATCAGAGTGCTGGGTTTGAGTCCAGGTGCTGTCACTATCTAGGTGATCTTGTATAAACTGCTTCCCATTTCCAAGCCCCAGTGTCCTAGTTTGTGCAGATAACAGCTTTCTAATAGGGTTAATGTAGAAATCAAAAGCATCATGCATAATAAAGCACTTAGCACAGTGAGCAGCCAGATGTACTCAGTGAGCAGTCAGCATTACCGTTTTTATTAGCAGGAGTAATAGTACTCTCCAGACTTAAGAAGCCTGGGAGGGATGAGGAAGGCATGGCAGAATCTTAGGATGCTCTAGTTATACATCCAGCAAATATTTATCGAGCATTTATTATGGTCCAGGCACTATCCACAATACTGCCGATACTGTGGGAAAAGGGCAGTCATGGTCCCGAACCTTATAGAGTTTAATTTCTGGTGGGATGTTATCATTCAATGGTGCTTATAAATCACCTATTTAGTCCAGAGGTTGTCACTGTGGCTGGATGACAGAATATCCTGGGAAGTCGTTTCAAAGGGGAGAGAGGCTCAGATTCCAGGCCCCTTCCTCCTGCCCTCCCCACACCTGACAGATACGGAACCCAGGCGTCTGAATTTTTACGAATGTACCGGGTGATTATGAGGTACAGCCTCCAGCCTTGGGTACCCGGACCTAGTCTATTCCCCAGTGACCCGTAGGAAACGGAAATTTTTACAGAGGCCGGGGCCTGCCCAGGCTTCCAAGGCAAGGGCCTCCCGGGGAGCGCGGGGCATGGGCGGCCTTACCGTGGCGATACGGGTTGTAGAGGGCCATGCCCGCAGAGCCGGCGGTCAACAGCACCTTCTGCAGCAGGGACGTGGGGATGTGTTCGGGGTAGAGCAGGCCGGTGCCCTGGCTCGCAGCTCGGAGCGGCACATCTGCGGGGCAAGAAGAAGGCCGGGGTCAAAAGTGTGGGGGGGACCCCAAGACTTCCCTCCGTCTCCGCCACTTGCCTGCAGCAGGGCCAGGGAGAGCTTGGAACAGACGGAGGGGACGCAGGGTCCCGCGCAGCAGCGTCACCATGACAGCACGCGCTGCCCGAAGGTCGCGGGAGGACCGGCGGGGCAGGGCCGCTGCTCCAAACTTCCCTGGCGACCGAGCGCCGGGAAGGTCAGAAGAACTCGAGCCCTATTCCCCTGAGTAGGGCCTTTGGGAGGCGGGGAAATGGGGCCGAGGAAAGGGCCCTATCGCTAAATATGAGAAGTGAACCCAGGCGAGCTGTCTGCCACCTCCTCTACGGATGAAAACTCCCCATTTCACTTCACCCCCGGGAAGGGTCTCCCCGTCCGACCCGGTAGCACGGGGCTTCGGCGACGGAACACACTTCCTTTCCCGCACACTGTTCCCCCGAGGATGTTAGGGGGAGAACCACTTCCGGCTGCGAAACCTGACGGCGCCCATTGTACGGACTCTATTTGGTGCGGGACCGTACGGCACTTCCGCCCGTCCAGCTTCGCCGGGAACCTGCGCCGCCGGCGCGGACATGGGGGCCGCCGGCGTGGCCCGGCTGCACGGGCTCTTTGCGACCTACAAGCCCCCCGGGCTGCACTGGAAGCACCTGCGGGATACGGTGGAGCTGCAGCTTCTGAAGGGTGAGTGCCTCTAGCCGGACTCCCGATTGCGCGCCCGTTCTCCCGGGAATCCCTTCTGATCCTCTAGCAAAATAAAGTCATGTGATCTAGTCGCCTGGGAGAGCGCTTTTCTAATCATGGGTTACGCCTCACCTTCCCTTGTGTTCACATGGGTAAACAGTAAATAAGTCATAGGGTTGGGATTTGAACTCGTCTGTTTCCTAACTGTTCTGTTCGCTGGTGCGCGCCGTGGGTCCTTGTCCGTCTCCCGCATCTCGGTACTTCCCTGCCCCTCCTCCCCAGGTGTTGGGACAGAATTGACACGATGTCCTCTACCTGTGTATGCACAGGTCTCAATGCTGGGAAGCCTCCTGCCCCTGAGCAGCGTGTTCGCTTTCTGCTGGGCCCTGTGGAAGGCAGCGAAGACAAGGAGCTGACCCTCACAGCCACCAGTGTGCCCACCCTCACCAACCATCCGCTGGGTAAGGCGCATTCAGGCAGGGGCTAGGGTCGGGGTCCCTTCGCAGGAAATCTATGTCCGGAGTCCGTACTCAGACTCCTGTCCCAGACCTTCGGGGGGCCGCAGTGGGGTTGAAGTGTTTGGCAAGGAATATGCAAATTTTCCAGGTAGGAAATGCTTCAGGCTTTGCAGGTTCAATTCTGCCATTGTAGTGCAAAAGCAGCTGTAGGCAGTATGTGAAGCCGTGAGCCTGGCTGTATTTCAATCAGACTTTATTTATGGACACTGACCTTTGAATTTCACATAATTTTCATATGGCACAAACTATTATTCACTTGATTTTTTTTTGGAATCTGTGAAAAATGGGGAAGAAAGTTTAACTCGTGGGCCATTATAAAAACAGGCTTGAGGATTTGTCCTGTGGACTATAGTTTGCTGACCCCTTTACGATTCCCAGACTCCAGGTAGGAATTGAGATCCTCGGGTGGAAGTCCTAAGGAGGTAGAAGATGTTGGGAAGCTATATGATGACCAAGGGGAACCTGTAAACCTCTTCAACAGTGATATTCAGTGACTCTACAGTATAACAATCACAAGTATGGTATAATAAGGATCTGCTTTGTACTAGATACTGTGTTAAGCTTTTTCCAAATACCATCTCATTGAAACTTCACCACAACTCTATGAGGTCTAACCTGTAGCTGTAAGGCTACATACTAGGAATGAGCCACACAGCCCGGAGCCATCCTTATTTGTTGAGGAAAGGTACCTCGTCTGTTTCCTTCTAGTACGTGGACCAGCATTCACCAGCCTGAAGATTGGCGTGGGACACCGGCTGGATGCCCAGGCATCTGGGGTGCTTGGTAGGTGAGGGGGTGCAGGCTTGGGGGAGGATTGGGAGATACCAGAAGCCCAGCCCACTTCTAACCTGACATCCATTTCTCACCACTATTCTCCCCTGATTCTCGCCCCAAATCCGATCAGCTGGTGGAAGGGGGGAGGGGGCGTCACAATCGCCCACCTTTATCAAGTGATCTCTGCATGTGATGTGGTACAAAGCCATTCACCACAGCAACCTTACTAGGTAGATGTTGTATGATTTTATGAATGAAGAAAGTAAGGTCCCACAGCTTGGGTGACTTGTCCTAGGTCACATGGCTAGTGAATGCCCTCGGTCCAGAGAGGGGAAACCATCATTGCTTTTGTGGGGTCGCCAAGCATGTGACTCTGGCCTCACCAGCGAGGGTCTGGACACACAAAGCCCTGAGTCATGAGCCATCTGTGTCCCCAGGGTCAGGCGGTGTCTACATCCATACGCGACAGTCACAGTCCCCTTGTCTTGCTTCCCGGGGCACTGGCAGGCAGACATGATCTCATGCCCCCTCCCTGTCTAGGAGTGAATGGAGGACCGTTCTCTCCTTCAGCCAGAGGGAGAAACAGCGGGAGAGGCAGGGAGTGGCCACAATGCCCTCATTTATGGGGCCCTTCCTTTGTGCTGACGGCTTCCTGTGCGTGGCCTCAGTCTTCATGACAGGGGCCGGGCAGTGTTTTTCTCCCCACTTTACTGATGAAGAGCCTGAAGCCCAAGGAGGTTAAGGACATGCTTAGAGCCTCTCCTGACTTACGTGCAGGTCTCTGTGACGGGCCAGTGGTCTCGTACTTTTGAGTGCATCAGAAAGCCCTGGATGCCGAAACCGGTTTGGCTCAGTGGATAGAGCGTCGGCCTGCGGACTGGAAGGTCCCAGGTTCGATTCCGGTCAAGGGCATGTACCTGGGTTGCGGGCACATCCCCAGTAGGAGATGTGCAGGAGGTGGCTGATCGATGTTTCTCTCTCATCGATGTTTCTGACTCTCTATCTCTCTCCCTTCCTCTCTGTAAAAAATCAATAAAATATATTAAAAAAAAAAAAAAAAGAAACCCCTGGAAAGCCCTGGCCGGTGTGGCTCGGTTGGTTGGTTGTCATCCGGTACACCAAAAGGTTGCTCGTTCAATTCCTGGTCAGGGCACGTGCCCAGGTTACAGGCTTGATCCCAGTAGGGGGCATGCGGGAGGCAGCCTATCAATGTTTTCCTCTCATATCCGTGTTTCTCTCTCTCTCTCTCTCCCTTCCTCTCTCTCTAAAGATCAATTTAAAATCCTTTAAAAAAAAAAAGAAAAAAGAAACCCCTAGAGAGCTGGCTAAGCATCCTAGGCCCCTCCCCACCACAAGTCAGAGTCAGTGCACATGGTGGGACCCAGAAATCCACATTGTCATTTATACCCAGAGGAGCTCACTTGCTCCCTGTAGAAGAAGCTGTCCTTGCCCCCTGCTGGCTTCAGCAGCGTTGGAGGTGGGAATATTCTGATGGCAGGTGTGGGGGATGGGGTCCCCGGGAAACGGGAAGCGGGGGGCAGGTGTGAGATCAGCCTGGGTTCCTTTCAGTGCTCGGCGTGGGACAGGGACGCAGTCTCCTCACCGACATGTACAACGCACACCTCACCAAGGTACAGAGGGCTGGGGACAGCCTGCTTATCCTCTGGTCCTTTCCCTGGGGGTCACTGGCAGGATTCTGAAGCTGAGAGGATTCCATGGGGAACATCCAGGCCATAAGTAAGCATGTTTTTATGGTCACATGCTATGGAAGACTAACAGCAACGTAACAGTGACAGCTGGCACTATTGCATGCTGGCTGCTCTGTGCTGAGCACTGTACGTGGACTCCCTCGTGAGCGCCTCACTACTTCCCTGCAGAGTGGGATCTGTTGTTAACCCATTTTACAGATGAGAGAACTCAGAGAGAGGATGCCACTTGCTCAGGGTCGTGTAGCCTGAAAGGGACAGAGCTGGAGTTTGAACCAGGATCTGTCTGACACCGGAGCCTGATCCGGACACCACTTCATTCTCTTCCCAAGACCGAGAGGTGGATGTCACCATCTAGGCATCAGGGCGATCTGGCACCACGAGCGTGTGCAATAGGCGTCATGATAGAAGGTCCCTGTTTTTAATGGTTAAGAGCACAAATTCTGGAGCCAAAACCAGCTTCTCCCTGTGCCAGCTGTGGGTCCTTGGGTGGGTTACTTCACATCTGTGCGCCTCCGCTCCTCATCTCTTAAATGGGAACGGTAATAGTACCTCTTCTGCATTAGGGTCACTTTGAAGCTAAGATTAGTGCCTACATGCCGCGTAGCTCATGGTAAATGCTCCATCAGTGTCACTGTTGTCACCATCTCTGTCATCGTTGTCATCATTACTCTGAGTTGTGGCAGAGGCATTCAGCTGCGTGGATCATACTTCAAGGGGGTGGAAAGAAGACTACAGGGCCTGCTAGGAGGGGCCAGCGTGACAAATTGTCAGGTTGCTGGAGTGGAGAGGCGTGGAGTGTCCTTCAGTGCCCTTTGTGGGCTGCCAGTCCTGACTGTCGTAGGAAAGTCCAGCATCCTTCCCCTGGGGGCGGGGGGCAGCCAGGCAGGGACTGAGCATCTGAGCTCCCTGGGGACCTAATGGCCCCACCCCCAGTCTCAGCCCAGCACCTCCCTCAGTGCTGAGGCTCAGAGCAGGGACACAGCTGGGTCTTCCCCTCCCTGTCCTCGCAGGATTACACTGTCCGCGGCCTCCTGGGCAAAGCCACGGATGACTTCCGCGAGGATGGGCGGCTGGTGGAGAAGACAACATATGGTGAGAGCCCCTGGGAGCCCAGGGCATGTGGAGGAGCAGCTGAGGCTGCCCCCGCATTTGCTTTCCCTTGATTCCTCCCCTCCCCCCAGTCTCTTAGACACACCAAGCTCGGGCTGCTATGGGGGCTTTGGACACACCGTTCTGTCAGGAGTGCCCTGTGTTCCCTTGTGCCTTTTCACCTGGTTTAAATGTCACTTCCCCAGGGAAGCTTTTCTAGCCCTTATACGTGGACTAGATGGACTCTCAGAATAGTAATTAACTAATGATTACTAGCAATTTAAAATCCATCTCCCCACCAGATTGATACCCATGAGAGTAGAAACTAATTTCACTCCTGTGGTCACACACAGCTCAGGGTCTGGGACGTGGGAGGTGCTTGTTGGATGGGGGGTGGGGGATTGTGGAGAGGTAGGGACAGATGGATGAATGAATGGTTGGGTGGGGGGGTGGATGGCCCATTCTTCGCTTACTCTCACCATGTTCTAACACTCTCTATAATTTATCGTGTTTGTTCTGGCCAGATAGCTTAGTTGGTTAGAGCGTCGTCCTGATATGCTAAGGTTGTGGTTTGATCCCTGGTTAGTGCACATTCAAAAATCAACCAATGAATGCATGTATAAGAGGAACAACAAATCGGTGTTTCTC